TAAGAAATCTATAAGGGGAACAGTAACACTAGTAAGGTACGCACACCTTAAAACAAGCAACAATTTGAAATAAATGCAGCATCTGCTCAAGGATGAAATTAAATGGTGGGAGAGGAGTGGAATAGGGATCTGCGGTTTAGGTTAAAGGAATTGCAATGATTGAAATGAAACAACATGTGTAAGAATTGTTAAATATGAAACTAATGGTCTACTCTGTAAGCCTTCAATGAAGTCAAGAGAAGTCTTTTTTTTAAAAAGAGGTTATGGAATTTTTCCACAAACTTTTTGAAGCTCCTCTTAGATTTAAGAGAGATTTCTGGACACTCAATTCTGTTTCACTGATCTGTGAGTTTTATCTTTTCTCCAGTACACCCTGCCTTGATTACGCTAGCTTTAGAGTAAGTCTGAAAATCAGGTGACGGGGTCCTCCAAAAAATGTGTGTTTGCTTGTTCTAGGTTCTTCGGGTTTTCTGCAAGAGTTCTAAAATCAGCTCCACAATCTACGACCACCCCCAAACAAAGCAAGCAAAACCCTGATAGGATTGGGATTATATTGAATCTAAAAGGTATCCTGGTGGTGCAGTGGTTAAACACTTGCCTGTTAACTGCCAGCAGAGCACCTCCCTCAGTTATTTTCTCCCCAGGAATTCTGAGGAAGACAGACCTAATGATCCTCGTCTGTAAAAATTACAAGCAAGAGACCCTTATGGGAAAATTCTGCTTTGTCACATGGAGTCACTATGACTCAGAATTGTCTTAGGGTACACAGCATTAAATCTATATAATTAGTTTATAGGGAATTGCCATTTTAATAATAGACTATTTCTATATGGTATTACATCATATCTCGGGATATTTTAGCATCCTTTTAGGCTACCTAGTAATCTTTCATGCCTCAGAGCTATAAAGTTTTGTGTTTGTAAAAGAATTTTTGTTTCTACTCTTTTACCATCTGTTGTAATTTAGCTAAAGGTTTATCTTTTTCCTGATCTTTTCAAACCGCGAACTTTTAATTTCATTGCTTCTTAGTGCACTACCATTTGTTTCTTCTCATTCATTTAATCATATTCATGCCTTTATCATTTTTTAGTTCACACTAATTTTTAAAGGATCATTATGAGTCAGAATTGACTTGATGTCAGTGGGTATGATTTTTATTTGCACTGGTTAATATAGTTTTTTAACCTTAGATCTTAATCTTCCTCTTTTCATTTTTAACTTTTTGTGATTGGGTAAAGGCTTATAGAGCAAATCAGTTTTCCATTCAGCCATTCATACACATTTTGCTTTATATCATTGATTGCAATCCCCATGAAGTAACATCACTTATCCCACTTCTTCCCTTGTTCCTGTTTTCTTTACTTTTCTTTCTGTAACCTTTCCTGTTTCTGAACTTGGTCTCTGGGCTAATGCTATCTCCTTTATCTTAAATGGTTGGTTATCTTTCTTTTCTTCCAATATAAGCATTTTCCCTTTAATGCATTGCATTAGCTTATAATTTCAGTGCTATTAAATATAAAGTGTTTTATGACCTTGCATATGTTGATGATCTGTACTTGAAAATGTGTATTCTGTTATTATAGCAATATAAATGTCAGTTTAATGTTGAACTAATTTAAACAGTGTGAAGTCTTTTTTTGAAACCGTTTTCTTGGCACTTCATCCACGTCATGCAATTCAATATTTCGAGAAGCATAGTACATTTATCACCACAGTCGATTCTAGAGCATTTTCCTCTTCCTTGTACTCATTGTTATCCATGTATGAAGTCTTTTTTTGTTTTTCCTGATTTTCTGTCAGCTTGTGCTATCCTTCAAGGAATCTTGGTAGCACTGTGAAGTAAGTGTTGGACTATTAACCACAGGTTTGCAGTTTAAACCCACCATCTTCTTTGTGAGAGAAAGATGGGGCTGTGTGCTCCCATAAAGATTTCTAATCCCCAAACCTATGTAGGCTTACTGTAAGTCAGAATTATATAATGTCTGTTAGATCAAGTTGGTTTATAATGTTGTTCAGCTCTCTGAAACCTCACTTATGTCTCGTCTGCTTCTTCTATTAGTAATTGGAGAGTAAAGTGTGTTCTTTCCTTTTCCTTTTGCTGCTTTTAAGATTTTCTGTGTTGCTTACTATAGTTTGACTGTAATGTGCTTTGTTGTGGTTTTCTTTTCTTTCTTCCTACGGGGCTTTACTGAGCATCTGGGATCTATGGATTATAGTTTTCAACCACTGGAAGTTTGTTTCCTCTTCGTCCTGCCCTTTCTAAAGCACCAGTTGTATATGTGTGATAGAATGCCCCACAGATCACTGCTGTGCTCTTCATTTTATACTTTCAGTCATTATCCTTTTTGTGGTACGATTTGGATATTATATCGCCTACTGCTGTGTCTTCAAATTCACTGCATTTTTTGGAAGTGTCTAGTTTGCTGTTAGTCCTACCTAGTTAACCCCCCCTCCCCCCGCCTCAGGTATTTTATTTTTAATCTCCATCAGTTAAATTTGATTCTTTTTAACATTTCCATTTTGATCTTTGTTTAGATTCTTCACTAGATATATATTAGCTAAAAACCTTATGTGATAATCCTCTGTTCATTATTTCTAAGTCAGTTTCTTTTGTTTTTATGAACTTCATATTCCTAGTTCATTGTTTTGTCTAGAAATGTTCTGTTGGATTATCGCTATGAATCATCTAATACTGAGTTCTAGAGTGTGTTTTCTCCCTTTAAAGAGGGTCCATTCTCACTACTTTCAGGACGTATCTTACTAGAAGACCTAGCCAGTGCAACTAGGCACTAAGTTACTCGCAAACGAATGTGATTTTTACAAAAAATATTTTATTGGGGGCTTATACAACTCTTATAACAAGCCATACATACATCAATTGTGTAAAGGACATTTGTACATTCATTGCCCTCAACATTCCTAAACTGATTTATTTATGGCTTGATTTTAAGCCTTTCATGGGTGGATTTAACAAAGCTTGAGGGAGTAGGCTTATTTAGGCCTAATACTAAGCATGCATGACTCTCCTACTCTGTTAGTGTCTCTGGTATCCGCTCCCACTTCAACAAACATTCTGCATTCTGGGAAGTGTCTGTTTAGCTTACAGATCCTAGGTAGTTCCGTTTATTAAAATTATTGCTTTGAATTTGTTTATTAAAAGTATTGCTTTGAAGTTTCGTTTTGTCATTCCCCATCATAATATTCTGTATGATGAAACATAACATTGGTCTTACTGATGTGTAATGAGAGACCTGCAAGCAATAGAGAAGTAGAAGTACATTTTAATATATGAGTGCTCACATGTGACACGCATAGAAAACTAGCCCCTCATTTCTTTAAGAAATTTTGGGTAGAGCAGTCCAACAATCACATCGAAGGCAGAGCAGCCTAAGCTGACAGCTTGATATGCCGCCTTCTGCTGCCTGGTTTGGGGGCTGTATGGCGGGCTGGTTGGTAGTAAAGATTAATATGACCCAGATGCCCTGTCCAAACAGTGGGACAATGGTTGGAAAGCATTGGGCTACCTGAGCACGAGAACCACCTGATGGCTAATGGATTTGACAGTGTGCAGTTTATGCCTACCACAGAAAGAAACAGCTTCACAGCTAACAATTGAGCTCTCATTCAGCATTGCAGCTGCCCCCAGGCCTGATGACTTCTGACAGGTTTTCCCTTGATGCAAGGCTACTCTTATTTAGTCACTGCCTTCAACTGAGCCCTCTGAGTATAAGGATTATTAAGATTGCAACCCAAAAAAAGAAATTTTGAAATATAGAAATTACTAAATGGTGTAGCTTTTCAAATGAGAATTACTTGAGTCTTAAGATCATCCTTTCCTTTTTGTTATTACAAAACCAATTTCTTTTGTCCTGTTTTTATCATACCCCTCAACTCTTTCTCACCCTCTGCTAATACCCTTAAAATCTCATCTTTTCCCTTTTTCAGTTTTTTTTTTTTTACCTAATTTGTTATTGTAAATTAGGTGGGCAAAAAACTCATCTATTTTCATGGCTTCAGTGTTTATATCCATGCAGATTATATTGACATTTATATTTCTTGCTCAGACATATCTTTCTGGTCTACAATCATGAATTTTAAAATGTTTATTGAATGGCAATTCTGTATGTATCACTCTTGTTACCTCAACTAAAATATACCTACGACCTGAAGTTTTATTCAGTCTCCAAATTATCTGTTTATCTTCCTTTTTTTTCTCTCAGTAACTTCTGATTGTTCGTTCTGTCAGCCATCCACTTTTGAAATTTTACAATCATCTTTGTTAATTTCCCTCTTCTGTAATTAGTTGCTCATGCCCATTAATTTGCACTCCTCAGGACTTCTCATGTGTTTCCCCCATTGTAATTTTCATTGCAGCATCTGTTTATCCATTTATTTCAGAAATACTTGTTAAAATATATGCTAGGTCCTCACCCCAAGAATGTTTGTATACAGTAGCTTTTTCCCTACGCCCCTTTTGCATTTTTTTTAACGTTTACCTCAGCAGACTCATGTTGTACTTGTCCTTTTGTGCCTGACTTACTTCACTTAGCATGATTTCCTCCAGCTCTTCCCATGCAGCGATGTGCTTCATACGTTCATCACTGCTTTTTAGCGACGTGTAGTACTCCATTAAAAAAAAACAAAACAGAATAAATAAATAAAATATATGCTAGGACTTTTTTTCCCCTCAGCAGACAGGAATTTTATGGCTTCCACAGAATATAGCATAATGCTTAACATAGATAGGCCTCAGTAAATTCTTGTGGAGTGACTCACCAAATTAATATTTAAGGTAGAACTATAGGAAATTGACATTTCTTAAGGTCTAAATGGCCAACTTTCAGCAATAAATATATTACTGATTACGTGCTACACAATATCCACAGAAGGAGAAAGGTGTTAATAAGGTAAAAACTACATCTATTAATGTTGGCTATACTTTTTTTTCAATGAGTTATACTTTTATTGTACCATAGACTTTTCTCTTCTTTACCTACCAGGAAACCAGAAACTATCCAGAAACATATCCACAACTGCCAAGGGATGAAACAGTGGAAAACCCTCATCTCCAGAAGCACATTTTGGAATTAGCATCCATTCTGGATGTTCGAAACGTGTTCCTTGAGAATACCATAGAAGACTATTAAAGCAAAGCCCTCTTGTTGAAAAATATTTCATTTGCCACAGATCTTAAATGGTGCAGTTTTCTAATGTATATGACAGACCCATAGTGGTATTACTTAGTTTTTATTTTTTAGTTTAGGACCACCGTTTTTAAAAAAAACGGGAAAAAATTCTTCAAATTTTTAGGGTAACTGTTTTAAAATGCAATCTTTCCGGTCTTTTAACAAAAACTACATGAATCTTGGGATTTTAAATTTTGGCTTCTGAGATATGGATACTGACCTCCAACATCTAATCCTATACTCAAAAGAGTCATTCTTTTGAGATGAATCAAATCCTTTATATTTGTATAATGAGGAAAATCCAACTCCTATCTTTGGTTCTTAAATGTCTGGATTGGGAAAATATAGTTAAGATGAAACTAGCCAGCCTGGACTACTGACAATCAGGAACAGAGTCCTTCCATCATAATATTTATTTTCATTCCAAGTTAGTAGGTGGAAAAACTTAGGATTCTTTGATGCATGATCAAGGCAGTTTCTGACATAATTCAGTTTCTTTAAATACTGTCAAAATTTCAGAAACTCTTTGGGACTGATTTGTAGCTGAACATAAAATGTTTATTGGGATGCTGAGATGATAAATATTTAGAATGTGTGAGCTCTCTGTAATCCTAATATGTGTATAATTTGCTTTCTTTGTGGTCTTTGAATGCTAGAAATTAACAAGAACAACAACTTTGAGCTATTTCAGTCAAAACATCAAGCTGTTGGTTTCATAATACAATGTCTTCAATAAGAAATCAAATTTAAATATTTAATTCATGTAATTAACATTAAAGGTTGTCTGCGTTGGTATATGGCCCTGGCATATAAAGCTGATAATCTTTTGCATAGTTCAAATGTATGACTTCAAAAGTCATAGGTATTTTCAGCTTTGGTTGGAAGTAACTCAATTATTATAAAACCTAAAAGGAAATTACTTTTGCATTGACAATTTCGAGTAATACTTGTTAAATGTCCCTATGTTTAATATTTTATATTCATGCACAGCTTTTTAAAAAATTATTTTAAGTAGGATTTATGACCCCTTTGTATTTTCATTTGTGATAGTTTTTTTTTTCCTTCACTTTTGTGATTCCACAGCACTGAAGTTCAGAAATCTGTAAATCAAAAGGCTTTGTACCTAATTTTCTATACAGGCTCACGTTCTACCTCTGGCAGTCCCAGGAAAATGAGGTGATTGCTTTTGGTGCCTCTTTCATATGCCCCTAAGGAAGTTATACTGTAAACTTAAATTTTTTTATTATTAAAATTATTTTTTGTTTTGTTTTCAAATGCTGGCAGAGATAGTAATTTGGGCTAAATTATTCATATACTCAGTCCAACTTGCTGGGTTTTCATCTGAATTCTTAAAGTTACTGTTCTTGGATTTGGAGCGCTTTGGAGTTTTTTTGTTTGAATTTTGTATATTCTTTTGAGCAACATTTCAGGAAGCCTAGGAAAATTTACCCTGCAGAGAGATTTCCTTTGCTAGCCAGTTATTTTTTATTTCCAGGTAACGATGACTTTGTTTTTCTTTTGATAACTTACTATACCTTATAACTTACTTTTCATAACAGTGTCCCTTAGAGTACAGCAATACAAGGGGGTACCCCCCCCCAAAAAAAAAAAACACAAACCCGAATTGGCGCTAGGCAGAGCGGAGCTTTTGTAGTGTGCATTTTCCCCACTAGTCAAGCATCTAGCAACTCACTCTAAGTTAGTGCACCCAGTGGTGTCTCTGGTCACACTGACTTTTTTCATAAAAGCATTTTTGCTGGAACCTCGTTTTTTTGTGATGGCTGATATATAGAACAGTGTGTGGCTGTGAAATTTTGTTTCCTGCTTGGGGGGTGGGGGAAATGCCTCAGAAACTGTTGTGATGTTGAACACAACTTACAAGAACAGGGCTATGGAAAAAACTCTAGTGTACAAGTGGTTTTCTCGTTTCAAAAAATGTGTAATGTCGATTAATGACAAACCTCGTTCTGGAAATCCGTCAACTTACCAAAGGGACAAAAAAAGATGAGTAATCGTGTGCGGCAAAAAAGGCCTGATTCGTGGTAGATGGGGACTGGTTTTTGCCACTACAAAATGCACCTGCTCATGTAGCCATCTCAGTGCACCAGTTTGGGGCACAAAAGCATGCCTCTTTGGCCCCATGAATCTGACTCAACTGACCTCGCTTCCTGTGACTTCTTTTTGTTTCTGCAAAGGCAGAGTGTCACACAAGGACAGTGATTTGAGGACGTAGAAGAGGTGAAGAAAAAACTAAGACGGTGCTGTCAGCCATCTAAACAGATGAGTTTGAAAAATGTTTCCAAGAATGAAATCGCAGATTGGACGAATGTATTAAGGGTAATGGAGAGTACTTTGAAGGTGATAAGGTTGCTTTTGTCAAAAAAAAATTTAAATACATAGCTTTGGGGGTAAAAAAATCCCTGGTTTTTGTTTTGTTTTGCTTTGTTTTTGGTAACCCCTAGTAGTCTGTCATAAGTGTCTGGCTTCTTGTTTCAATTCCCCTAAAGTTGTGACAGTAATGCCACTGCCAACACAGGTTTTCCTGTTCTCTGAAACTTAAAGTATTTTTTGCCCTGAGCAATTGTTTTCACCAGAACACTGGCCTGGAAAGGCCTAGACGACCCGAGTTCTGTTCCTGGTTTATTAGTAACTAGCTTTATACTCAAAAACTGTCATAATGTCTCTGCTTCTTAATACTCTCATCTGTAAAATGGGGTTGTTGACCCAATTTCCCTTCCACAATGCAGTTTTGTAAGCTTTTGTTTGCCAAAGATGCTGATTTTCCCATCCTTACCATAGGAAACTGTAGTTTCTCTGTTTTTAGTATTTAACCATTATCTATTCTAGATCATACTTCTTAGTTATTGTAGAAACTAGTTCAGAGAGAGACTCTCAAAAACATCAAAGCTTTTGTGATTAGAAACATACTGGCCCCAGGACAAGAATTCTTAGAAATCACAAGTCAAATTTAGATGATGACCTTGCTCCTAGGAGTAATAGCCATGAAATACTTTATTGGTACCAGTTAAAAGGCTAAAGTGATTTTTAATTTTCCTGGGGAGGAGCGTGGGGGAGGTAGAGGGATAGCTAGGAAATTATAAACTTTAGTCTTTTTCTTTTCTTTGTTTATTTAACTACCACCATCCTCCAAATCTTGTTCTAGGCATGGGAGAAGCCAACAAAATAGACAAAGATTCCTGTCTTCATGAAGCTTACATTCTACTAAGAGAAGTCAGGAAGTAAGCATAATAAATAAATGAATTACTATTAGCAAGTGGTAAATGCTGTGGGAAAATTAAGAATGGGAGAAGGGAATATTTTTGTTTGTGTTTTCAAGAACAATATTTAGAAGGGGTGAAAGACCTCATTGAGAAGGTGATTTTCCTTTTTTAAAAAAAAACTTCTATTATGAATGTTTTTAAATGTAATGAACCCTCATACATCAGTCACCCAACTCCTACATTTTAGGGCATTACTTTAATCCAGGTAGATGGAAAGGAAAGAAAGGCCCAGTCATACAGTGAGCTTAAGGTAGCAATGGCAAAAAATTGTTTTCTATAAATATATATACCCTCTTTATAAATATAAAAATGTTAAGCCCTTTATTAATTTGCTAGATTTCCTAGAAATCAAAATACTGGCACTTAACAAAGCAGTGGGGGAAAAGCACTTTGCTTTCAAATTGCACAGCCTTCCCCCACCTCGGAGATTCTGGTAGTCTATCTCCTCCCTTAAGAATCATTATAAGCAAGATAGGAAGTAAAAGACCTCAAGGTGTTAGCAGGTCACAAAATTAAGCACAACGGAATCATTTACTCTCTCGTTATCCATATCATTCTAAAGTTGGCAAAGCACCTATTTTCCCTGTTTTACAGAAGAGAAACCTGAGACCAAAAGAGCCATCGACTTCCCTAGTAATAGAGCTGGAACAAAATCCCCAAGTCTCCTTCATTTAAGTCCAGGCCTTCGGGCAGCTCAGGGTGTGCATTCTTTAATGGACACGAGAGAATGGCGATTTAGATTGTGGCACAAAATGTTAATGGCATTTTTTAATGTTTCATTTATTGAAGCCAGTGAATCAGTGCTAACAAATTCATGCTTGTTTTATTAATTACTAAGTATCTGAAAGTCAGAGATTTTATCCTTGAATTAATAACAAAAATACAAAAACAAGAAAACAGAACCTGTGTCTGTTGAGTTGATTCTGACTCATATTTTAACCAGTATATATATATTTTGTGTATGTTCTCAAAATGTGGTGCTCTTAGAAATCTCTCAAAGCACATAGAACTTATCATACCCTTTGTAGTTTTACCAACTTGAAATGTTTTGAAGTTATAGAAGCAAAGTGCAATCCAATTACAACTGAAGTATTCCAGATGTAGGGTTGGGTTTGTCCCCATAACCCCCACTTATTGCTACTGCCCTTTATTTTCGCCTTGGAGTAGAGTCCCCTCAAACAGATTAGGTGATTGTACTGAGTTTAGTTTAACTAAAGAAGAAAACTGCAAGCATGGTTTATGATTCATTATGGAGCTTTATCTTTCTCCAAATTTAATCTCCAACCTGTGTGACTTAACTACTTTCCATCTCTGAGAAGGGGCTTGGACGCCATTGAAAAAACTGATAAATTCTGGTTTACCACAGTCTTCTCTCTCAATAATCGAAAGATTACTTCCAAACCAAAACAAAAAGACCTGGTACGTAGTTAACCAGACCTGTAGTCAGCCCAGTAGACAGATCTAACATTCTGCCCTAGGATAATAAGGGGCCAAAGTCTACATACTTAGCAGCTGTTAGTAATTTAGAACCACTTTCCATACTTAAGTGAAGAAAGTCATTTGATATGAATGAGTGATATTTTGAGTATTCCTGGAGATGATATTTTGTGTGGATATGTTTTTGTGTGTGTTTAGAGAGTATAAAGGGTACTTATATTGAGGATTCTTTTGTTGACCTTATTTATTTGAAATTCTTATGTGTAATGGCATGTGTATATTTTTGTGATGCTAAATGCAATCTGAATATACTTTTTGTATATGTATATATACACGTATATATTTGTAAATATATTGGTATGCAATGATACAATATGTGTATATTCTATACCCATACCCATTGTGGGCTGCATTGACTTAAGTTCTGTGAGGACATCATAGTGGCATTGTTCATGCTGCTCTAATTAGGTTGTGGCAGCTTCTCATTCACGAGCCCCTATTTTAAGGGGCCTGTGTTTGGGTAAAATGGGCTAATTTGGTTTTGAAATGGATATGAAAATCTTAACAGAAAGCTGGACATTCATAGCTTTTAAAATCATCTGCAAATTTCCATTTAAATGGATGCTAAACTAAAGATATAAAGCTGAAAAGCCTGCTTCTGTGAAATGGAGACACCAGCACATTCTTAGCTATATTAGTCCTTTATTTTCTTGACCCAGAGTTGAGTTGTTACTTTGTACTCAGTAAATTCTTTATATTGAGATTTAAAAATCGCTTTCATAACATTTCAAAATGTATAGGAAAATGTGCTTTAAATGGGGAAGATCTATTCCTACTTGCCATTGCAATACTTGCCATTAGAGTTTAATTTTATAGCTTTTTTTTTTATTTTTAATTTCAACTGTTTGCCTTTTATATGTCTCTGTGAGGCAGAAAAGGGCATTAGCTGGGGAAATAGATGACCTGGTGGGGTGGGCTTTAGCGTGGAATGAGAATTAGGAGGTGGTGATCTGCAGCAGTTGGGGACATTCCC